GAAAACTTTAATATAAGTTTAACATAACAGCAAATGTACAAACTTATATTAAAGTTTTCCTTCATTACCCATTCAAGCCGTCTCCAAGCATTATTAGTCTCAAAGTGGGTTCCTCGTCATCGAATCAGCGTGTGTGTGTGTGAAGAACCGGGATAACTACTATCGTCTAATATTTATGGAAGGGGGAGCGGGTCTTATATGACTCGTTGGATGGTAAAAAGGAATCCTCCATGAAAAATATGATTACATCATGACCAAGATGACTATATCTAGTGAAGATCATTCACGCTGTACTATTTCAGAAGATCATGGGAGCTCATCCAAAATGGCTGCGCTCACTAAAGGGCATCATACTTGAGATTAGCTAAGATAGAGCCTGGAATGCGCAATATATGTCATCAATTTATAAAAGCTGTGACATTTCTAGAATATGTTCCTTATCAGCAGGCTCATTCATGATGGCTCCACATTGGCAGCTTTAATTCAACTGGGTGTAACGTCATGAATATTAAAATTATGTGAAGTTCAAAGATCAGTGGTCAAAAGTGACCAACTGTCCCAGCTTATTTGGATAAGTTATTGTCGTTTTAAAGTAAAATACAGAATATAATTTAACTTATCAATCGGATAAGTTAAATTTTTGACATATTTTTAAATAGCTAAGCCGGATTTAAAATGCTAGGACGACATAGATAAAATCCTAGTTGCTTTATTAAGAATAAATATATAACCAAATGAGCTCCAAATAATCTCGAAGTTTGTTACGTTCCTTTTGAAACTTTAAAATTGTTCTCAATTTTACGTTATTGTCTTAAAAATTTAACTAAGCTACTGCTATGAAATAACTAATAGTTTGTTTTTGTTTTGTTTTTGAATTTCGCGCAAAGCTACACGAGGGCTATCTGCGTTAGCCGTCCCTAATTTAGCAGTGTAAGACTAGAGGGAAGGCAGCTAGTCATCACCACCCACCGCCAATTCTTGGGCTACTCTTTTACCAACGAAGAGTGGGATTAACCGTCATATTATAACGCCCCCACGGCTGAAAGGGCGAGCATGTTTGGTGTGACGGGGATTCGAACCCGCGACCCTCAGATTGCGAGTCTAGTGTATTAACCACCTGGCCCTGTCGGGCCATTATAACAAATAGTACCAGTGGAGTCATTTGACTAGTTAGTCTTTTTCAACTTTCCTTTGAACACAAAGTTTAATTAAGTTATTTGTGCACTATTACACTTTCAACGTTTCATACACAGAAAATGTCTACTTTATTCTCCAACATCAATTGTTACAAAGAACACGGAATATTTAGTTTCATCGTTAACAAGTAAAAATTATTTATATTTTCAATAAAAGTACTAAAGTACGTAACCCGAAATCTACGTCAACTGAAGAAAATAACATAATAGTTTTCTTTGGATAAACAATATTATATATTTTTAATTATAAATATCTAGCTTAACACATCTGAGGATTTCTAAAAAAGTAAGACTAAAACATTGTTTGATTCGTACGAAGCAAACAAATCGTGCATCTTTACCATAAGTTACTGAAACTTCAAAAACCAATCGACGTTGTCCTTTGATGTTAATGGAAAAGGTCTTCCATTTGGTAGAGGATTTCTCTCACCATTGTCGGCTTGTCTGGATTGGATGTGTTTCTTGATTTTATCTGCAAGTTTTTTCTGATGAATAAAAAATATACAAGATAGTAAATGAAGAATATCGTAACTATTTTTATTTGATCATTTTTCTTGTATATTTGTATTTAATGATATTAATTAATTTAATTTGAATGATGATGTATTATTGCATAAATGTTATCTTTAAGTTCTATCCTTATCTTAAAACTACTTCACATAAAAATGGCAACAACCTGCCTTAAATATTATTACTTTTCTCAAAATAAAAATGAGGAATATCTCTGAAAAAAGACTAGACATAGTTGTAAAACACTGTAGTTAGCACTTCGAGCTTATGTTCAGAATGCGTATACGTGACGTGTTTCAACTGGCCTAATGCTGCCACGTTTCGGTTTGACGAGAATGACGTACTTAAATTATTGTATTTTGTTTGTTTGTAGTTAAGCACAAAGCTACACAAAGGACTATCGAAACCCGGTTTCTAGCGTTGTAAGTCCGCAGACATACCACTGGGGGGTCTATCTTATAGTAGGAAGGATAGTTTTCGAGTTTGTATATCGCAAATAGTTTTGTTCTTCTACGACGATACAGCGTTACAGAGTAGCCACATGGCTAATAAACCACCAGCAGTTTGTCAAAAGTCTGAAAGGAAAATCCTCATCATTGGTAATTTTTCGAAAGTAAGTGATGTTTTTTTTTCAATATAAACAATAAAATCAACAAGGGACTGCAACAAAAATTTTTTTTTTCATCTTCACAAACGATTTAATGCACAACATGAAAGTCCAAGGTTCCAACTACACACTTTCAGTTATAAGTTATAATAGTGAGATTAAAACTCATTATTCGTTTCAGGAATAGATTATAAACTTGGCATTATCTGCCCGAATTATTCCTAAAACACTACAAAATAACATTTTAACTTAATAGAAGCACTAATGTGACTCCAAACATTTTACCGCTTTCCCGGGAAAGTGGAAATCGAGCTTCTTCGAACCAGTACTCAAGTTTAAGATGGAACTTAACTGAACATTGTTTGTATTCGAGATATGTAAGAAATGAAAGTAAAGTTACAAAACATAACGTTCTAGATCGATAGAAAAATCAAGCATAGAAATCCGAACGGAATATACGAATAGTGCCGTTAACATGAAATACGTTATCTGCTAGTCTAGTCACTAAGCTAAAAAAAATAAATAAATAAACTTTTATCAACGTGAATTCACTAGATTAATGTGTGCTCGGTACAAACACTATACTAAAACAAGCGGTGTTCAAAGTGACTTAAAACAGTAAACACCACTTTGGCATCCTGGCTCTGGGGAACTGCATTTCTAAAGTTCTTGGAGTTCGGGCCTGAAAAAACACCGAGATCCTTACTAATCCATATTCAACAATTACCAGAGCTTTTCATGAAAGGCCATAAGTCGTGCCGGTAGAATCAGTAAGGATAACCCGTGTACAGTGCCCAGTTTTTGTTCAAAGGTTGAACACGACATATAAACAAATATCAAAAGTACGGCAGTTTTGTAATTTTACTATAACTTTTTAGTTTGACGTAGAGTTTAGGATATGTTTTGTTTGTTTGTTTGTTTTGAATTTCGCGCAAAGCTACACGAGGGCTATCTGCGCTAGCCGTCCATAAC